ATGGGGCACAGGAGACATGGAGAGAGCTGCTTTCCAAAGGAGTAAATAAATAAATCTAACAAGAAATTAAATTAAGATCACCTCTCTGATCTAGCTGAGCATTACTCCAAGTTTCCGGGCCAAGCAGGGAAGGGAATGAGCTGGAAAGAGCCAGGAGCTCCGCAGCAGCCCCAGTGCTGCCCAGCCAGACCTGCTCCTCCTCCACATGAGGCCAGTTTGTTGCCAAAACAGTTTTTCCACCTCTCAGAATGGCAATTCCTCGAGATGAGTTTCATTCCTGAAGGAAGCCAAGGCCATGCAATCCACTGGGGCTTCCAAGTGAGCTGGGAAAGAACATGGACTATTTCCTGGCTAAGTTTTCCAAGTATTCTCCCAACTGCTTTGTCTCCCTTGCCCAACTCAAAGCTTGCACAGTTACTTGTAGGTGCAGCTTCCACTCACTACATGTGCACACCTCGAAGGAAATAATTTAACAGCAAAATCCTTCCAGTCCTGAAGGCAAAACCTCCTTTAGAAGGCATTTTATCAAAGCAAAGAGAGCACAGCAGGTCGCTGTGGCCCATGAACTCCGCCAGGTCGGTGGGAAGGATCAGGGAAGGTGTGTTCAGAGAAGGCACCTCCCGGGGCTGGGATCCAGGGCAGTGCCTGCAGGTTTCCAGCACAACACCAAGATGAAATCCTGCCCGGTCYCACAATACAGGGACGGTACCGAGGGTCAGAGAACAGCACATCACAGAATCCTGCGATCATAAAGGCTGGAAGACATCTCCTTCCAGCACAGCCTCYAACCACCCACAGCATTCAGTCACCATCACAGATTCTGTCCGACCTCCTGCCTCCAAGCAAGCAGCCTTCTCCAGAGGCAGCTCCCGTGCACCATGCTGGCTGCAGCCACAGAACCAGCAGCTCTGGCAAAGGGACACAGCAGGACGTGGATCCTGGGTGGCACAAACTCAGCAGCGCCAGGGAGCTGCACCAACACCGTGTTTCATTCCCTCAGCTACACAAGGGTTAAAGGAGACCCAGCCCTGTTCCCACCCTGCGGGATGATCCATCACCGAGCTTCCAAAGGCTCCACTGAGGCCACGTCCTGCTCAAACATCAGAAGCTCTTGCTGCCAGTTCCAAGTCCAAACCCATCACTTCCCAAAGCAGAGGTTTTGCAGTGAAGGATTCACTTCCCATGAACCCCCAGGCCTTGGGATGGCAAGGACAGACAGGGCTTGGGCACAGCCTCCTCACCCAGAAATTCATGTTGTGCCCCTTTGGGTTAATGACAGCTAAAAGCGGCTGCAGCCCCCCTTCCTCACACTGACTTTGTCCCACAGGAYGTTCCCTGGGTTTAGGGCAGCTCAAGGGGCTCCAGGCAAACACAGAAACAGCCCTGGGCACAGCCCTCCAGCTTTGGAGACCGACACTATCAGGATATTTCTTTAACTCGTTTTTTATAMCACTTAGGAAATGTGATCAAGGAATCAAGACTGGGAAAGAGGAGACAGGGCAGAAGAAGGAGAAAGGAAGAGAAAGAGGAGCTACTGTGAAAAAAGGAAAAGCCACCAAACCTGTGCTAGCCCTGCCCTAGAGATCAGCCCTTGYCAGCCCCTGGCACACGAGCTCCACAACACCCAAAAATGCCTCAATCCCAACACACAATCCAGAGCCCATCTCTGAACTGCTGCAGGAGAGAGAGACAGGGAAAATCCATGCCACGATCCCTGACATGCCACAAGGACACCAGAACTGGGACTCACATGAGGCCCCAGATCCCTGTGGATGCCAGACAACAGGAAGGAATTCCATACAAAATGAAATAAGGCTCAGGGCATTGCAGACTCGCACCAGTTCCATATCACAGCAGGGAGATGGGGCAGGTCTGGATCTGTTTGTGGAAAGTGCCTCCATTAAGGAACCAGGGATGAACCCCAGTCATCCAAACCCCTACCCCTTCAGCCAGTTTTCCTTGGATATCCTACAAACACCTGAAAAAATGAAAAACCTGCTGACCTGGAAGTGCCCACTTATGCTAGGCAGCATAGAGAGTAAACAACTGAAATAACAATAATAATCCTAAATCCCACAAACTGCTTCCAGGTGATGGTGGTTTAAGGAGGAAGAGCCAACCGAGCAAGATCAGTATCTCAMATGAGATGAAATTTAAGACTTTTGATCCAAACAATGGGTCCCATTTTTGATGGCTCATGTAAAACTTGTGTAAAACACTGGCCACAACCCCAAAGGATGTTCTCACAAGGAACAGAAAAAGGACCAAAACCTGGCTGATTTGGGCAACAGCCAGGTTACAGCAAATGAACAGAAAGAGGGGAAAAAAAAATCCCTGAAAGCMCAATTGGTCCCTGAGGAGACTCATTTGCCCCTTTTAGGGGGTGTGAAAAGGTCCCGGGCTGGGCTGCAGCCTGACAAATTCGGGCTAAAAATAACCAGGGCGGGTGCAAACAATAACGTGGGGCCGGTCACACATCCTGTGACAGCGGCACCGGCACCGGCAGGATCCCAAACCTAGGCTCAAGGCAAAGGCAGGGAGCTGGGAGAGGCCCCTTCTGGCTGCCCTTGGCCCCAAACCCCCCACACTTTGTGAAATGGCTCCTGTGCTACCGAGTGGAACCAAACTGCAATCGGATCCTGGCAGGAAAAGATTACAGATCAAAGATTAAGGCCTCAATTTGCCTCTGAGTGAGTCAAAGCCAGGAGAAAAATCTGATTTTYCCCGGGGTTCAGTCACCAACTCTGATTTTCCTGCATGAATAAACCCACCCGTTTTAAACCGTTGCATAAATATATATCCCAGGAATTGGGATCGCTCACTAATCCTCCATAAAACCTGCTGATGCATCCCCTGAGTGTGCAGAGGAATCTAAGTAGCCCAAGGAGTGCTGGGGTTCAGGCTTCTGCTCTCTCCAAACACTTCTCTGCATCGCTTGAGAAACGTCCCTGTTCCAAGAAAAACCGACCAGTGCTGACATCTTATCATTAAAACCTGCCATCCCAGTTAAAGAATCTTAAAGAGCATCTCTGCACCTTGGGAAATGAGTCAAAATCGAGCACTTTCACTTTCAAAACACTCACCTCTGCCTCACACCGAGCAGCCAACACAACTGTCACCTTCTGCTTCCAGGGAAAACATCAGGAAAAGTTCTCCTGTGCCAGCTGAGGACATTCCCTGCTCTGAGGACATTCCCTGCGAGCAACAGCCCAAAGAGCTCAAAACCAAATGGCCAAGAGACATCAGAGGACACACTGAGCTGTGGCAGGAGAGGGCAAGGAGCCCTCCCGACCTGCCTGGCTGCCCTGGGAAGGGGCATGGAACAGAGGACACAAATCCTTTCCTGCCCACATTCCTGCACATTTGGAGCTCCAACCTGTAGCTATTAATCCCTTGCAGATCTGGAAACGCAGCAGCAACCAGAACATGKCTCAGAGTGACCCAAAGCACTTGTCCTGCAGGAACAGCCCTMCTGGGGAGGAATTCATGGGACCTGAGGGCTTGGGGCTGTTCCCAGCCCTGTCCGGGGGCTGCTCCCGGCCCAGACCCGGGGCTGCCTCCGCTCGAAGCCAAGAGCAAAGCCAGCAGCTGAATCACCCAGGCTGCCACACTTCTGCAGGGCCTCCAAAAATAACTCCGCTGGAAATTCCTTGGAGGCACAAACCTTGCTTCAGAAGGACTGCAGAGATCCAGTTTCCTTAGTGGAGCAGACTGGATGCAAACTGGCCCGAAGGTTTCGGAGCACAAGGAACGGGATAAGGAGCCCCTTCTCCCGGGGATAGAGAACAGTTACAGAGCCCATCCCCAGACAGGATGGAACAAGCACCCTGGCCAGGGCTCACACACCGAGTTCCCTCTGGTTCTGCTGATCCCACAACTCCAGGGCCTGCTCCTTGCGCTGTTCCCACCGGCCAGCCCCGTTCAAAAGCCGAACCGTTCCCAAGACGCCGCTGCGGCGCCTTTCACCGCACACCCACCATCCGAACATCACCCCAGCATCCTGCCCTGCACCCAGAGCCCGCCGCGAGCTGCAGCCCCGCTCCCACAGCCCCAAGGCAAACCTTGGTTCCTGCCCCAAAGCACGGCGCCGTGCAGGTGGGGCCCGGCGCGGTCCGSAGGAGGCAGCGGGGGCTCGGGGGGCGCAGGCCCGGAGCTGCAGGCGGAGCTCGGCATTGCCGCTGGCCGGGAGCCGGCTCCAGCACCCCCGGGCCCCTCCAGGGCCGGGACCCCGCGCACGGCTCCGGCCCGGCCTGGGGGTCCCGGGCCGCTCCCAACGCTCACAGCGGCATTCACGGACCGGRTCCAGCGCTGACCTCGGGCACCGGCACAAGGACACAGAGAGGAGCTTGTCACCGGGTCCCGGCGGCGGCCAAAGCCGGGCTCCGGGGGAAATTCGCAGGGGCTCGCGGGGCTCGGCTTCTCCTGCCCTTTTGGCTGCGGGGCTGGGGTTTGGGGTGCAGGCGATGGAAATAGGGGGAGGCAAAGTGTCTGCGAGTGAGGGCTTTGCTGCCTGTGCTCCTCAGGTGGGACGAGCTCGTCCCTGGAGCGGGAGGAAACAAGTCTGGGGGGTCGCGCATCTGGGAACGTCCTCAAAAAACAAGAAAACGCCGCAATTTTCAGCACGATCCCGAGCTCCCTGCCAGTTTCTAATTAGCAGAGGACAAACAAGTAAAATAACACGAGAAATCTAAATCCCGCGAACCGGTCCCAGACGGTTAGATTCAACGAGGAAGAGCCCGATATTCTAAATGAGCTGAAATTTAAAACTTTTGACCTAAACAGCCGGAGCCCGCTGCAATAACAAACATGGGTTATTTCGGTCCTTCGAGCCTTGCCAGGTCCCGAACCGGGGCCGGGCCGGGGATCACTGCAGCTCTTGCCCGAAACCCCGAGGAATGGCCCCAAAACAGGGTTGGGGAGAGGCAGGGCCCTCCCAGAGCAGCTCCCAAGCTCAGCGGGGCGGGCAAGGGAACACCGGGGGTACCGGGCGGGGGGCTCACCTGCGATGGCAGAGTCGTCCAGGTACGAGCCGGGGGCCCGCTCGGCGCGGCCGGGATGCTGCAGGAGGAGGAGGAGGAGAARGAGGAGGAAGAGGCCGCACAGCGCCCGCACGGCCCGGCCCGGCCGCGGCTCCATTTCCGCGTCCCCGCCGCCGTCAGCTGCTCCTCGGCATCGGCACCAGCTGGGGGACCGCAGGGTGTCCCGGTTATCGCGCTTATCCCRGCTATCCCGGTACAGCCGCGAGCTGCGGCCGCACACCGGCTACCGGAACCCTCCGCCCCCCTCCCCGCTCTGCAGTGGTCTCTCCCAGGACAGCCTCCCCCCAGCCACAGTGGTCTCTCCCGGGACAGCCCCAATCCACCCGCCTTAAGTGGTCCCTTCCCGGGATAAACCCGCCGTCCTTTCTCCTCTCTGCCGAGATAACCCTCTTCCCCACCTCCGTTAAGTCTCCCCGGCCCGCTCCGTCCCTCCGCCGCCTTCTCGCAGCGGTGTCCCTCGGAAAACCCGCCTCTGTCTGCGCCGGGACAGCCCCGAACCCCCCCACCGCCGCGGTGGTCTCGCCCGCCCCCCCCGCGCGCCGCGCTGCACACCGGGCCCTGGCGCCGCCGCGCGCGCGCTGACAGGGGGCGGGGCCAAGCGCCGCCGGGCCACACCCATCACGGGGCGGAGCCAGGCGGGGGCGGGCACGTGCCCACGCCCCTGCTATCGCCCGCGCGCGTGCGGCGCTGGCCCATAGCGCCCCCTGCCGGCTGCGACAGAGAATGGCCGCGCTGGGAGCTCAGCCGGGCCCGCGGCGGGATGGGGACCGAGCTGAGGGGATAGAGCCGGGGGGACCGAGCTGAGGGGAACAGGCCAGGGGGACCGAGCTGAGGGGATAGAGCCGGGGGGACCGAGCTGAGGGGAACAGGCCAGGGGGACCGAGCTGAGGGGGCAGAACTGAGGGGACCGGGCTGAGGGGACCAAACTGAGGGGGCCGAGCTGAGGGGAACAGGCCGGGGGGACCGAGCTGAGGGGATAGAGCTGAGGGGGCAGAGCTGAGGGCACCGGGCTGAGGAGACCAAACTGAGGGGACCGAGCTGAGGGGAACAGGCCGGAGGGACCAAACTGAGGGGACCGAGTGGGGGGACCAGGCTGAGGGTACCGAGCCCGGGGGACCAAGCCCGGGGGACCAAGCCCGGGGAAGCCGCCTCTAGTCTGGGGGAGGGCTTGTCACACAGCCCGGCACATCGCAACGCCCAACATGTCACAGGTCCCCTACTCTCTGGGCAGAGCCGTTTTGAGGTCCCAGCACGTGGTTCCTTGTTCGCAGTGGCACTGGGGAAATTTCAACACATCAGAGAGCTGTGTGACACCGCCGGGGCCACGTGCTCCTAGTGGCATTGCTGGACTGGTGCCACCGGTGCCTGGAGCCCACCAGCCTATGGGGGGGACAGGAAGCTCACATCCKGTCCCACTCTGGCCTTGGTGCCCCAAGAAGTGTCGCTTTTGTCCCTGCAGCAGGCTCCTCCCAGCCAGGTGCCCAACAGCCCTACTTGGTGATGAGGGAGGGGGGTCCCAGATCGGCCCCTCGGTGGGGACCCCCGGCCACGGCAGGTGCCCAGGCTGGGACACGGGGCTGGYTGATGTCCAGGCTGAGCACTCTCTGTTGGGTCCCAATGCTGCTCCCCATGCTGATGCTGGGGAAGATGCTGGGTGTGGGCAGGGGGTCCTGAGATGAGGATGGGGACAGGCCACTTGCTCCCAGGAACTGCCTCCCCTCCATCCCCGAAGGGGATGAGCCCCACAAGCCCCTCCTGCCCCAGGGACCCTCATGGGCTGCGGGTGTTGTTGGGGGCTGGGGCTGCCCCTTATGGGGATCCTCCCAGCACCCASCCTTCTCTGGCCCTGGCGCAGCAGAACAAGGCCGTGCTCGGGGGGCACTCCCACAGTCGCCCCGGGACCCCCCTGCTCCCCCTTGGGGTGCAGGAGGGCGGCCCCTGTCCCCCGAGGGGAAACTGGTCCCGGCTGTGTTGTCATCCCATCCCCACCCACACCCCGAGAGCAGGCGGTGTCATCCCCCTCCCGCCACAACCCTTCAAGTCCCCAGGGTACACCAAAGAGGGGTGGGCTCCCTTCCCTGCGCACCCCCCTGCACCCCCCAGAGCTCTGGACCCTCCGGGCTGGCAGTGGCCGTTCCAGCATGTCCCTGTCCCCAGCTCTATCCCCAGCGGTGGGGGTCGGGGTGAGTGCCGGGGGCAGTCCGGGGGACCCCGGCCAAGGAGGAGGGTCCCTGCTCCCAGCCCGGCCCGGGGGCTGCAGGTCYCTGCTCGGGACGGTCCCGGGGGGCTCTGGGGGGTGCAGGGATCCTGCCCGGGGGTCCTGCCCCAAAGCCGCCGCAGCCTCAGCCCGCAGCCCCGTCCCGGTAGCCGCAGCCCGGGGGATGGCGGATGGCGCAGGGGCTGCTTTGTCCCGGTCCCGGGAGCGGCCCCGGGCCGGGCCGAGGAAGGAAGCGGCGGGCGCGGGGGGCCGGGCGCGGCGGGGGAAGTTTCTCCGCGGGACCGCCCGGGGCGGCGGAGGAGGCGGCCGCAGACTTCCTCCTCCTCCTCCTCTTCTTCGTCTTGCTCTTCGTCCTCCTTGTGCTTCTGCCCCGGCCCCGCGCCCGCCGCCGCGCCATGCCCCGGGGTGAGTGCTGGGCCGGGGGCACCGGGAAGGGCTGGGGGGCCGCGGCCGGGGGTCCCTGCGGGGTCCGGGTGCGGGTCAGGGGGGCGGGAGGAGACGCCCGTCGGGGCCCGGGCGGGGGCGGCGGGACCCGCCCGAAGCGGGATAACGGGACTGCCGGCGATAACGGAGCTGCCGGGGAGAACGGCATTGGGATAACAGAGGTCCGGCGGTGACGGGAGCGCCGGGGATAACGGAACCGTCAGGGAAAAGAGGTGTACCGGGATAACGGGACCGCCGGGGATGACGGGGGGAGTTTTGGGGCGGGATCGGGGCCGGCAGCTGTCGGGACTGAGCGGGGACAGAAACCGGCCCTGCCCGACGGGACCCCCGCCCTCACCGCCCCGGGCCCCCGGCTCCGCACCCGCCGCATCTGCAGCCGCTCCCCGGGCCCCGCTCCCCGGGCCCGCAGGGGCTGCGCTGACACCGGAGGGCGCTGCATGGACCGCGGGACACCCGGGTCCCCGCACTGACCCTCCCTTGACCCCTCTGCACCGACCCACCGACCCCTTGCACTGCTCCCCACTGCTCTGACCCTCCCGACCCCGGTGCAATGACCCACTGACCGCTCTGCACTGACCCCCACTGCATTCACTCCACTGACCTGACTGCCACACTAGCCCACCGAGCTCCCTGCACTGTCCCCACTGATGCCCTGCACTGTCCCCACTGCACTAACCCACTTAGTCCCCCTGTACTGACCCCACTGACACCCCTGCTCTGGCACCACACTGCCCATCGCCCCCATTGCTCTAATCCCACTGCTTTTCCCCCCCTGCACTGACCACACACATCCCTTGCAGGTGCTGTCACAGGTGTTCAGCAGCCAGGACATGTCAGGGCTGTCCCCTGGGYGGTGGTGCCTGCGGTGGGCACTTGTCAAGGGCTCCCCCCGGGGTCACTGCGTCACTCAGTCAGCATGGGGACACCCGCAGGTCCCTGAGATCCTGTGGGGTGTTGTGGATGGGTGGCTGGGCCAGGGGCTGCTGGGCTTCCTCCACTTGGCTCAGGGGAAGGAGAAGCCACCAGAGTACGGTTGGTGGCCTGTGGGGATGAGCTGTGGTGGGTGTGTGGTGGGAGGGGGCCAGTGCTGGGAGTGCAGCCACTGGGAGCAGCTGTGGTGGTGCCGGGAAGTGGTGGTGCGGGTGCAGGTGTGGGCTGTGCCCTCGTGCATGGCAGTGGCTTTGGTTTGGCTGTGCCTGGAGAGGTGCCAGAGCAGGATGGTGCTGCCTGCCTAGCACTGGGACCTGCTGGCAGGTGTACTGGAGGCCATGGAGCATCCATCCCTCCATCCATTGTCC